CCGTTTTCGAGTCTCATCACTTCGAGTAGTCTCAACACCCTTATATCAATCACTGGAAGTGGGACGGTGACTGAAGGAATAGTTAAGTCAGATGAATGGTTTGACTTTGACCAACTACGAAATTTTTTTATTTTTTATTTTTTACTTAATACATTTTTACTGGTCTTTACAAGTTAGAGAGAAATAAATGATAAATTAAAAGAAGAGAGTGGAAATAAGTTAAGTAATTTGATTAATGAGAAATAAAGAGATAAAAAATTAAAAGATAGTGGATCATACCTCTTTTTATATTCACACAAGATTTAGTAAAAATAGGAAAGATTTTTGCTTTTTTGACAATTTTTAACCATCACAAATTTTTTTATTTAATTTTTGTCCTACCTGTACATTTATTGGACAGTCACAATCAAAATAATTTTTTTAACACTTAATGAAAGTTTCTAAACTATCACAAAATGATAAAATAGATTAAAAAAAATTATATAATCAAAATCTACGGCTGCAAATAAATATCAATTATGTATAAAAAAATATTTTTACCATAAAAAATAATTACAACATTATTTATTTTATTTATTTCTTTCTTCACTATTTATTTTCTATTTCTCTTAAATAAAACAATTAAATTTTCATCCTTTTTCTTATCTATTTTTACTCACTTATTTCTCTCTTTTCTATTTCTTTTTGCTCTATTTCTCACCTATTTTTTTCTCACTAAAAACCTTTCTTTATCTCTCTCTTCCCTATTTATTTTTTATTTCTCTTAAACAAAAAAAAAATCAAATTTTCATCATTTTTCTTACCTATTTTTACTCACTTATTTCTCTCTTTTCTATTTCTCTCTACTCTATTTCTCACCTATTTCTTTCCTCTCTAAAAAAACTTTCTTTATCTTTCATTTTTCTAAAAGTTGTAATTATTCATATGTTTTCTTATTATATAATTATTTTTAACTACTTATGTATTATTTTAAAATTAAGTAAGACAATTATATATGTAATATATCCTTTTTTTTTAAATAATTTAGAATAAATATAGTATAATATAGGGGAATATTTTACTAATAAAATAAAATAGGAGAGGTAAATTAGAGGGTTTTGAGCACTCTAGACCCAACTTGGAGGTTGATTAAAAGAAGCAAAATAGAAAGGATACATTATTACCTAAACACTAAATAAGAACTAGGTTTCACCGTATATTCGGTGAATCCTGAGCAAGTCATCATACGCTAACTTGGTCTTCTTCTTGTCGGGCAACACGATCGGGTACATGACAGCCTCTTCCACAAAGGAATGCCCTAACCCTAGCACGTGACCAACCACGTGCATCAGCACAGACTCCAAATCCACCTCACCCTCATCGCTCTCACCTTTCACCACCCACTTCTCCTCCGAATCCAAATACACGCTCCCAAAACGCGCACTGTAGTTCGTCTCCGCACCCCCCACCGTTCCACCTTCTCCATCCAACACCACGAAGGCAACCCTAACGTCCGCGCCATCGAACGACGCCGTCTCCGCCAACCCCAACGACGTCGCATTCGACCACCGCGCGAAAACGTCGCGTAACAAAACCTTGACGCCGTTAGAGACGTTATTCCGAGGGTGAATAGCGTAGGTCAGCTCTCTCCGCCCCGGTTTCCACCACCGCGTAAACGACGTCGTGTTGACGACGTCGGGAACACCGCACCGTGGCTGCGATATCATGCTATACGTGTCTTGGTCTAGCTGCCCCGTGACTTGGAGGTTGAAGTTTTTCTGGTATTGTTTTATTGCGGATTGGAGCTCGAGGGTGAAAGTGTCGTTGAAGTTTGAATTCAAAGTAGAGTTTAAGTATCCGAATATGTCTAAATATTCTTTCACTTCGGACAAACCCTTGTATACGTCTCCAAGCTTTAGTCCTTTCTTGAACGTGAAGAGTGACTTCAGTTTATTCCAGACGCTGGAAAATTTACTTGTTCTGCTGTTTTTGAGCCACAACGGGATTCCTTTGATTAATGCTGGTAGGAAAGATGCTGAGACAGATACATCAACAAATAGAGAAGATAATATTATGAGAAGGAATGTAGAGCTTGTTACTGCTCTTAATCTCATACTTGAGTATGTTTTATGTCTCTTGAGCAATAATACGAATGTTTTAGTATGTGATTGAACTGTGAGCCAGAGCCAAGGAAGAATTCATATATATATAAGAACTTGGTGATTGGAAATAGTCGCATACCTTGTGCTCATGATAAATACATGAATTGTAAAATACGAATGTAAGTTGTTTTGACTGTAGAGTAAGATGTTGAATATGTCTTTAAGTGATGTACACGTTACAACTACTGTCGAATGTTCTAGCAAGTTCCGCACAAGAGTAGTTTCAAAAGCCAAAGAGTTTATTTGTTCAATTCAAACAGGGTGCAATCACGAGGAAATTACGTAATTAAATTTATATAATCTATAGGTTCTTATCCATTTTAATCAGAAAATTTGTAAATATTATCAAACGTTACGAAATTTCTCTTCAATCACCCCCAGGTCAAGCATTCAATTTTTTCCCCTAATTATTTAAGTTATTACAAGTCACTAGTGTGTGCTACTTCTTTAATTTATTCACTCTTTTTGTGCCAAAAAGTATTGGAAACAAATAGTGAAGCTGTTTGTTTTCGCTGTGCGCACATCGAAGCTGTTTTAACTATGCAAGTCCACAAACACATGGAAATTAATTGTAAATAAAAAATAGAGTCATTTTAGTTCTTAAATTTAGAAAATGTCATATTAATATCTAAAATTAAGAAAATTTTAAATAAGTTCATGAAAATGTAATCACATGAGTCTAAAATTAAAAAAAAAATATGACTAAAATAATATATATATGTTGACTAAAATGATAATAAGTAATTAAATTTGAATTCAAAGTAGAGTTTAAGTATCCGAATATGTCTAAATATTCTTTCACTTCGGACAAACCCTTGTATACGTCTCCAAGCTTTAGTCCTTTCTTGAACGTGAAGAGTGACTTCAGTTTATTCCAGACGCTGGAAAATTTACTTGTTCTGCTGTTTTTGAGCCACAACGGGATTCCTTTGATTAATGCTGGTAGGAAAGATGCTGAGACAGATACATCAACAAATAGAGAAGATAATATTATGAGAAGGAATGTAGAGCTTGTTACTGCTCTTAATCTCATACTTGAGTATGTTTTATGTCTCTTGAGCAATAATACGAATGTTTTAGTATGTGATTGAACTGTGAGCCAGAGCCAAGGAAGAATTCATATATATATAAGAACTTGGTGATTGGAAATAGTCGCATACCTTGTGCTCATGATAAATACATGAATTGTAAAATACGAATGTAAGTTGTTTTGACTGTAGAGTAAGATGTTGAATATGTCTTTAAGTGATGTACACGTTACAACTACTGTCGAATGTTCTAGCAAGTTCCGCACAAGAGTAGTTTCAAAAGCCAAAGAGTTTATTTGTTCAATTCAAACAGGGTGCAATCACGAGGAAATTACGTAATTAAATTTATATAATCTATAGGTTCTTATCCATTTTAATCAGAAAATTTGTAAATATTATCAAACGTTACGAAATTTCTCTTCAATCACCCCCAGGTCAAGCATTCAATTTTTTCCCCTAAGAATGCAAGCCATAATAATGCAAATGTAGAACAACCTAACCCCAATCCTGATAGTGCTACTAATGTGACCGGGGGGGCAAGGTCTCCTCCTGTGTTACTCGAAAACACAGCAAGGCCAAATAATGTAACTCAGGAACTGGTAGATGTCACGAGGGAGTATCCTTGGGGTATGCCACCTAATTGGCGAAGTACCCAACCTATACATGCTGATATGCCAGTACCCTTGATAGGGCCTAATCCCCAAATGCATATATCCCCACAGGGATATAATCCTGGACCAAACGGCATGGGGTTTGTTATGCAAGACCCCTATCAACATATAGGAACGAGTCAGGAAGGTTCGTTAATTCGACAAGGCAGTTACGTACCCACTGGAATTAGTAACCAGGCTATGATGGCTCTTAGACAGCAAATGGACCATAGTAATCATGACATGGTCAATTTGTTGTCAACTCAAATGCAAGAACACGTGGGAAAAGCGGTTTAAAGAAGTTATTATTCTGAACCACATAGCAAATGTAGTGGGTAGCAGTTATGGGTTAAGAGCATACGTGTACAGAATTAACCACTCATTATGTCTCTATAAATAGAAAGATCACGGACCTCTTCAAGGTCGGAAAACTCATACTCTAACCAAATTCTGAAGCATTCTCTGCCTGCACATATGGCTTCCATGCAAGGAATCATCTTTGGGTATGATTACTTCTCGGCCACTTGTCTTTTCTCTTTTTAGGAGTAGGATTAGTGTAGTCTTTCTTTTCTCTTCTCTCCTTTTAATTACGTAGTTATAGACTTTAATCTTGTAATGCTTGAACATTATGTAATTTGAACATGATTTGTATTGCGAATGTATACATTGTTCATTCTATTCATATTGTTATTTGCATGCGGGAACATTGCTTGTTTGTTTTAATCGAAGAACATTTTGAAACAAGTAGTTGCTAAGACTTTTTCATCCTACTCTCCATTCGCGGTAACACGATAACACAGTAAAGCACCTAAATTGAAATACGTTCGTATGCTAGTCTAAATAAAAAGAACCCAGGATTTGATGGTTAATTCCACCGTAAACAATTGGGCTTCATTGGGCCAGTAATTCAAAATTTAATTAATTCCAACTCACTTGGTCTAATTTTTGTCCATTAATTATTTTCAGGTTAATTGTGAAGCATTTTTGGGCTTGGATATTTTGGACTTCAAGAGACAAAGTGTCATGTGATGGAATAACACTAAGGCCAAGAAGTCCAAGAGGTGATATATTGAAGGAAGCAAAAGGAATAGGATAGTGTTGAAAAACCATAGGAGGAGTGAGGCCACTTTTACCTTGGTATTAAAACAAATTTGATTACATTTATATTTGAGATATAAAGTCATTAAATGATGTATATCATTAGATAAAGGCATAAATTTTTTTTACGTTTAAAGTATATTTAAATTAAATTATATATATATATTTTGACTAAAATGATAATAAGTAATTAAAGTATATTTAAATTAAATGATGTATATCTTGAAGTATTCGCTGAGCGAAGTGTTTGATGATGATGAATGCATTATGCATGCGTTGAAAAGTTCTGATATTCTTTCACTTCGGACAAACCCTTGTATACGTCTCCAAGCTTTAGTCCTTTCTTGAACGTGAAGAGTGACTTCAGTTTATTCCAGACGCTGGAAAATTTACTTGTTCTGCTGTTTTTAGTCAAACCGTTTTCGAGTCTCATCACTTCGAGTAGTCTCAACACCCTTATATCAATCACTGGAAGTGGGACGGTGACTGAAGGAATAGTTAAGTCAGATGAATGGTTTGACTTTGACCAACTACGAAATTTTTTTATTTTTTATTTTTTACTTAATACATTTTTACTGGTCTTTACAAGTTAGAGAGAAATAAATGATAAATTAAAAGAAGAGAGTGGAAATAAGTTAAGTAATTTGATTAATGAGAAATAAAGAGATAAAAAATTAAAAGATAGTGGATCATACCTCTTTTTATATTCACACAAGATTTAGTAAAAATAGGAAAGATTTTTGCTTTTTTGACAATTTTTAACCATCACAAATTTTTTTATTTAATTTTTGTCCTACCTGTACATTTATTGGACAGTCACAATCAAAATAATTTTTTTAACACTTAATGAAAGTTTCTAAACTATCACAAAATGATAAAATAGATTAAAAAAAATTATATAATCAAAATCTACGGCTGCAAATAAATATCAATTATGTATAAAAAAATATTTTTACCATAAAAAATAATTACAACATTATTTATTTTATTTATTTCTTTCTTCACTATTTATTTTCTATTTCTCTTAAATAAAACAATTAAATTTTCATCCTTTTTCTTATCTATTTTTACTCACTTATTTCTCTCTTTTCTATTTCTTTTTGCTCTATTTCTCACCTATTTTTTTCTCACTAAAAACCTTTCTTTATCTCTCTCTTCCCTATTTATTTTTTATTTCTCTTAAACAAAAAAAAAATCAAATTTTCATCATTTTTCTTACCTATTTTTACTCACTTATTTCTCTCTTTTCTATTTCTCTCTACTCTATTTCTCACCTATTTCTTTCCTCTCTAAAAAAACTTTCTTTATCTTTCATTTTTCTAAAAGTTGTAATTATTCATATGTTTTCTTATTATATAATTATTTTTAACTACTTATGTATTATTTTAAAATTAAGTAAGACAATTATATATGTAATATATCCTTTTTTTTTAAATAATTTAGAATAAATATAGTATAATATAGGGGAATATTTTACTAATAAAATAAAATAGGAGAGGTAAATTAGAGGGTTTTGAGCACTCTAGACCCAACTTGGAGGTTGATTAAAAGAAGCAAAATAGAAAGGATACATTATTACCTAAACACTAAATAAGAACTAGGTTTCACCGTATATTCGGTGAATCCTGAGCAAGTCATCATACGCTAACTTGGTCTTCTTCTTGTCGGGCAACACGATCGGGTACATGACAGCCTCTTCCACAAAGGAATGCCCTAACCCTAGCACGTGACCAACCACGTGCATCAGCACAGACTCCAAATCCACCTCACCCTCATCGCTCTCACCTTTCACCACCCACTTCTCCTCCGAATCCAAATACACGCTCCCAAAACGCGCACTGTAGTTCGTCTCCGCACCCCCCACCGTTCCACCTTCTCCATCCAACACCACGAAGGCAACCCTAACGTCCGCGCCATCGAACGACGCCGTCTCCGCCAACCCCAACGACGTCGCATTCGACCACCGCGCGAAAACGTCGCGTAACAAAACCTTGACGCCGTTAGAGACGTTATTCCGAGGGTGAATAGCGTAGGTCAGCTCTCTCCGCCCCGGTTTCCACCACCGCGTAAACGACGTCGTGTTGACGACGTCGGGAACACCGCACCGTGGCTGCGATATCATGCTATACGTGTCTTGGTCTAGCTGCCCCGTGACTTGGAGGTTGAAGTTTTTCTGGTATTGTTTTATTGCGGATTGGAGCTCGAGGGTGAAAGTGTCGTTGAAGTTTGAATTCAAAGTAGAGTTTAAGTATC